AGGTTTCCACTCCCTCTACCTATTCAGTATAGTACATGACCTCTTAGGCTAGAACAAAATGACTAAAGGAGATCAAGGGGGATACAAACAGGAAGGAAAGAAGTCAAAATATCTTTGTTTGCAGATGATAAGATTATAATGTAAATAACCCTTAAAACTCCACCAGGAAACTCCTGCAGCTGATAAACACTTTCAGCAAAGTAGCAGGATACAAAAATTAACTCACAAAAAACAGTAGCCTTCATGTATTCAAATGACAGACTGAGAAAGAAATCATGAAAACAATACTCTTCACAGTAGCCTCAAAAAATATCTTGGGGGTAACTCTAACCAAGCAAGCCAAAGATATGGATAATAAAATCTTTAAGACATTGAGGAAAGAAATTGAGGGAGATATCAGAAGATGAGAAGATTTTACATGCTTATGGATTGATATGTTTAGGTTAGTAAAAATGGCCATGCTACCAAAAGTAATCCATAGATTCAGTACAATCCACATCAAAATTCTGACACAATTCTTCACAGAAATTGAAAGGACAATTTTCAGCTTCTTAAGGAAACACAAAAAACCCAAGATAGCTAAGATAATTGTGAATAATGAATTACCTCAAATTTTACTACAGAGTTATAGTAATAAAAACAGCATGGTACTGTCAGAACCTGATCTTTTATAAAGAAACCAGAAATACACACTGGAGAAAAGACAACATCTTCAACAAATGGTGCTGGTTAAACTGGGTGTTAGCATGTAGAAGAATCCAAATAGATCCATATCTATCACCCTAAACAAACAAAACTCAAGTCCAAGTGCATCAAAGACCTCAACATAAAACCAGATAAACTGAACCTGGTAGAAGAGAAAGTAAGGAATAGCCTTGAACACATTGGCACAGGAGACAACTTCCTGAACAGAACAACAATAGCACCGACACTAAGATCGACAATTAATAGATGGGATCTCATGAAACAAAAAGGCTTCATAAGGCAAAGGACGCCTTGACAGGACAAAACAGCAGCCTACAGAATGAGAACAGATTTTTACCAACTCCACATGTAATAGAGGGCTAATATCCAAAATATATAAAGAATTCAATAAACTAGATATCAACAAACCAAATAATCCAATTAAAAAATGGAGTGCAGGTCTAAATAGAGAATTCTCAACAGAGCAATCTCAAATGGTCAAGAAACACCCTAAAGAAATGTTCAAAATCCTTAGCCGTCAGGGAAATTCAAATCAAAAGAACTCTGAGATTCCATCTTATAGCTGTCAGAATGGCTAAGATCATAAACACAAGTGACAGCTCATGCTGGAGAGGACGTGGAGTAAGGGGAACACTCCTCCATTGCTGGTGGGAGTGCAATCTTTCCACTATGGAAATCAATACGGCAGTTCCTCAGAAAATTGGGAATTGATCTACCTTCAGACCCAGCTATACCAGTCTTAGGCATATTCACAAATATCCTACACCCCATCCTAATACAAAGACACTTGCTCAACTATGTCCTTATTCATAATAGCCAGAAACTGGAATCTAGATGTTCCTCAACCAAAGAATGGAAATAGAAAATGTGGTAAATTTATACAATGGAGTAGTTTTAAAAAATGACATCATGAAATGTAGGCAATGGATGGAACTAGAAAAAAGTCATCCTGAGTGAAGAAATGCCTTCTATGTTTCTTTCCTCAAAGCATTTATTTGGTTTTAATAAAAGAACTAACAAAAGTCAATAAAAAGAATACAAGTTAATATTTTTTTTCAAAGCTGAGACTTCATCTCCTGGCCCTGAACATGATAAGCATGTCCACTACTCTCGTGAGATATGCCCCGAGTCCAGTTAGTATGTTTCAGGATGATATACTTTTCATTTTACACAAAAGTAGTTTATTATTCCTTTTATTGAAAATAATTTTTTTCTTACATAATAAATCCTGATTGTTGTTTCCCCTCCCTGTACTCCTCATAGTTACTCCCTATCTCCACTCCCACCTTTTTGTATTTCATTAGAAAACAAACAGGCTTCAAAGGGATGATGTAAAATAAATAATAATATAAAACAAAAATTCATACATTGAAATAGGACAAAAGAAATAAATAGAAAAAAAAAAGAGCCCAAGAGAAGGCACAAGAAATAGACCCACTCATTTGTGCACTCAGAATTCCCATAAAAACAATAAACTGGAAGACATAATATAGATGTAGAGGACTTGTAGCGTTAAAAGAGAGAAAAACATATATAAATTAAATAAACATTAAAAAAATAAGATTTAAAAAAGTCATGATACTATATTATAGGCAAGGAACTTCCAAAGATACTATTGCATTTATTTTTTGTTGGCCATCCACTGCTTGGCATGCCGTCTACCCTTAAGAGTGTTTGTTTCTCCAGTGGTTGTCAATTGGAGATTGTTTCTAAGTTAGGGATGGAGACATGTATCCTCTTCTTTCAGGTCTAGGACACCATCTGGCTTACACCCATGTAGGTCTCTGTGACTTCATATGTGCCTCAATCCTTTTATATTAGAGGGCTTTGTTTCTTTGGTGTCCTCCATCCCTGGATCATACATCTTTTTACCTCCTCTTCAACAGTGTTCCCTGAATCCTGAATGGAGGTATTAGGTGGAAGCATCCTGGTTAGAGCTGAGTGTTCTAAGGTCTCTCATTCTCTGCATATTGTCTGGGTGTGGGTCTCTGTATTTGTTCTCATCTGCTGCAGGAGGAAGCTTCTCTGATAGTGACTGAGCAAGGCACTGATCTGAGTATAGCAGAATATTGTCAGGAGTCATTTTATTCGTACATGGTTTTAGTAGAATATTAGTATTTGGTTTTACCGTAGGTCTCTCGGCTTGTTAGTCTCAGGTTCTTGGTTACCCAGGCAGAGCTGGGTAAGTGTTCCATCTTATGGATTGGACCTTAAGTCAAACCAGATACTGGTTATTTACTCCGCCAAGCATTGTTCCACCATTGGACTAGCATTTCTTGTAAATCAAATGGTTTGTAGCTGGGTCAGTGTTGATGTTTCTCTTTTGTAGCATGTAAAGTACCTTCCTCTACCAAAGACCCTAGCATGTAGGGGTGAAGGTTCTAGGTAGGCACCATCTCAACTTCTCCATGTTCAATGAATTGTCTAAGTATCTTCAGCAATAGGGCCTCCATCAGTTTGTGGAGAGCAACCTATAGTCTTGGCAATAGCTTGGATTGTTTCGGGGTTTTCATGGGACCCCTTTGGCCAACAGCTCAATTAGATGTTACCCATTCCTGGTACTAAAAGCTTTATTTTGTGACAAGAGATGTCCTATTAGGGCTCTGCTTTCCCCATTATTTGGTGATTTCATTCATATAAGTATATATTCTTCTATTGTATTAGATTTTTATACTACCCCTCAAATGTCCCTTAATTTTATCTATCTTTCCCCATATTCCCCCTATCATCATCCTCTTTCTTCCCCCTCCTCACTTGAACCTCCCTTTCTAGTTCCATAGCCATCTATTTTATTCCCCTTTCCTAGGGAGAGCTATCTGCCACTCCACTCCCAAATCCATTATTCTATGCGTAACCTCTGTAGTTCTATAGATTGTAGCTTGGTTATCATTGACTTAACAGCTAATATCCACATATAAGTGAATATAGTCCAAATTTGCCTTTTTGGTATAGATTACCTTAATCAGGATGATTCTTTTCTAGTTTCATCCATTTATCTGAGAATTTCATGACTTCATTTTTTTAAGAGCTGAATAATACTCTATTGTGTATACCACATTTTCTTTTTTCTTTATTTCTTTTTTTTATCTTTTCGTTTTTCAGGACATGGTTTCTCTGTGCTGTTTTGGTACCTGTCCTGGAGCTCTCTCTGTACACCAGGCTGGCCTCGAACTCACAGAGATCTGCCTGCCTTTGCCTCCCGAGTGCTGGGATTAAAGGCGTGTGCCACTGACGCCTGGCCTGTACCACATTTTTTCTTTAATCCACTCTTCTCTTGAGGGTCATCTAGGTTGTTTCCAGTTGCTGGCTATTATGAATAAAGCAGCAATGAACATGGTTGAACAAGTGTCTCTGTGGTAGGTAGGATGAAGTGTTCTTTGGGTATATGCCCAAGAGTAGTATAGCTGGATCTTGAGGCAGATCAATTCCCATCTTCCTGAGGAACTACCATATTGATTTCCATAGTGGCTGTACACGTTTATATTCTCTGCAGCAATGGATAAGTGTTCCCCTTACTCCACATCCTCATAAACTGTCAAGTGTTTTATTGATTTTAGCCATTTTGACAGGTATAAGATGAAATCTCAATAGAGTTTTGATTTACATATTCTTCGTTACTAAGGATGTTGAACAATTTAAGTGTTTTTCAGCCATTTGAGTTTCCTCTTTTGAGAATTCTTTGTTTAAATTTGTACCCCGTTTTTATTTGGGCTATTTGTTTTCTTGATATTTAGTTTTTTGAGTTCTTTGTATATTTTGGGTATTAGTCCTCTATGGAATATGTAGTTGCTAAAAACCTTTTCCCATTCTGTAGTCTAACACTTTTTATGAGTGATGGTGTCCTCTGCCTTACAGAAGCTTTTCAGTTTCATGAAGTCCTATTTATTTATTAGTTGTTGGTCTTAGTGCCTATACTAACAGTGCCTTGTTCAGAAAGTGTTTGCAGGATAACATATACATACATATATATGTATACACACACACACACACACACACACACACACACACACACACACACACACACATATATATATATATATAAAATCTCGAGTATATTCTCAAAATATATTTGTTTTTTCAAGACAATGTTTCTCTGTGTAGACAATGCTGTCTTGGAACTCACTCTGTAGACCAACTGCCTCTGCCTCCCCAGTACTGAGATTAAAGGTGTGTGCCACCAACACCCAGCACGATGATATATTTTAAAGAAAAATCCTAATGATAAGGAATAACAAGTTTGTATTTGAACCTTGTTAATCTAGACATTGTTTTCTTTCTTTCTTTTTTTTCTTTAGGTACAAAATGCTAGTGACTTGCTGATCAAACCCCTGGAAACTTTTCGGAAGGAACAAATAGGTTTCACAAAGGTATATTTTTTGTACTATATAAGGTCATTTTAAATAGTAATTGAGTAGTTATTTGGACTACTACTCATTATTCTTCAATGATACAGTGCATAACTATATAGGGCCATGAGATGCTCAGATATCCCAGATAGCTAATAACAGTATTTTGGAGTTTATCTCTGTGGGTGTTTCCCAAAGAACTTGGCATTTGAATTACTTGGTGGCCCTAATCCCTGTGGGTGGGTATCATCGGATCCACTGAGAGTCTGAGTAGAACAAAGGGGTAGAAAAAGGTTGAATTGACTACTAGGTCACATGACTTAGAACATGGAACCTTTGCTCTCAGTATTACTGGTTCTTAGGTCTTCAAACCCAAATTGGAATGCCCAGCAATAACTCTCAGGCTATTAAAACTTCTTACTATCGTATTGGTATTTCTTACAGTTTCCATGTAGCAGATCATGAAACTTCTTAACCTCTATAATCAAAAGAGCCACCACCTTAGAATAAATTCCCTCTCTGTCTCTCCCTGTCTCTGTCTCTGTCTCTCTCTCAATCTCTCAAATAATACAGAAATTAGTAATAGGAAGTGTGCTGCTGCTATAACTAGTAAGAGTAATGTACCATGTAACAATGGGGATACATTCTGAGAAATGCATCGTTAGCTGATTTTATCATTATGTGAGCATCATAGAGAAGACAGAATAGATGGTACAGATCACTCACTGTAGTTTTTGATAGTTAGGAAATTCAGTAGAGCAGGAGGTATTTGAGGCTCCACCAGCATGACATCACATACTATTTAACAGTAAGTGTTTTCCAAGGCTTATACTCGAAAATAACAATAAAGGTATGGTGTAGTAAATATGTATTCCAGTAACATAGTTATTTTTCTTATCATATATTAGGCATATAATTGGATGTGCTAATTTTTTGTGTTATTGATAGCTGAGTACATAGCATCACAGACATATAATTGATGCCTGATGCTATTATGGCTATAATGTCATGGGAGTGGCAGAAATTTTTCTGCTCTTTTATGATGTCCTTCTCTCTCCCCTTTCCCTTTCTCCTCTCTTCCTCCACTTACTCTCCTTCTTTTCTGTAACTTCCTCCTTCCCCTGTGTTTTCTTTACCCTTTTCAGACAAAATGTCAGTGTTGCTCAGGATGGACTCAAATCTCTGATCTTCCTTTCTTAGGTTCCCGACTGCTGAGCTTGCAGACTTGTCTCCCCACACCCAGTTCTACTAATAATCCTTTGAGGCTGCTGTCGTGTATGCAGTCTCTTGTTGGAAAATGTCAAATGTCATTATGCAGCATACAACTTTATGTTAACCTGAAGGCACCACTAGAACCAAATTCTTGGTGGTCCAGAGGAGTTTTGAGGAACATACCAGGGAAAGTGGAGGGTGCTGTGGAATGGCTTGTTATCTGGAGAGGATTCAGCAATCAATGAGAGGGATAGAGAAAACTTCTACTGTCTTAGATTATATATTGTCAGTTATGTAGTGTTGTGAGAAATGTGGGCATTAAGGTGATCAATCTGGATCTATTTGCATACTTCTACATGCAGACATCCAGTTTGACCAGCACCATTTGTTGAAGATGCTTTCTTTTTTCCCCCCAGTATGAATTTATGGCTTCTTTATTCAAAAGTGTCCATAATTGTGTGGATTTATGTCTGGGTCTTTGATTCAATTCCATTAGTCCACCTGTCTGTTTTTATGCCAATACCATGCAGTTGTTAGTACTATAGCTCTGTAGTAATCTGGGATGGTGAAACTTCCAGAAGTGGTTTTATTGTACGGACTGTTTTAGCTATCCTGTTTTTTTTCTTTTTCCATATGAAGTTGAGTATTGTTCTTTTGAGGTCTGTCAAGAATTGTGTTGGGATTTTGATGGGCATTGAGCTGAGGAGAATTTTAAGCAGACTATGTAAGAAGCAGTTGTTTTCTTCTGCCTGCCAGTAGTAAAATTCAAGAGAAAAATTGATGATGGACTTACTTATTTTTAACTTTTATTCATTCTTTGTGGATTTCACATAATGCATTCAGATCCCACTTACCTCCCTGTCCTCTTACAGCCACCCTCTGCCCATATGACACCCCCCAAAACAAAACAAAATTTAAAATTTAAAGAAAAACCAAAAAACAAACCAAACCAAACCAAACAAACAAAAAAAAAAAAAGAAGAAAGAAAGAAAAAGGAGAAGAATCTCGTCTCGGAAACTGTAGTGTGGCCCGTTGAATAACAGTTTATCCTTTCATCTGTTTATCTTTACTTGTAAGTGTTCATTGAGAAGAATCATAGGTGTGACTGGAACTCCTCTTAGATAATTGGTCTGGCTCAAGGCCTCTGGCTTCTGCTTCACTACCAACAGTGAGCTCTCCCTGGGGCTCCTCTTGAATATCCTGTTGTCCTGTGTCATGGAGATCCTGCTGTTTTGGATCTGTAGGTTCATCCCATGCCCCACAAGTTCATAGATGAATGAGGTGGATGTGAGGTGGGCTAACTCATAGCCCCAGTTCTGGGCCTGGGTGGTAGCTGGGTTGGTCAGCCTGCCAGCTTTCCCTCATGGTAACTACCTGGGGAAGCTCTCCAGCACTGCCCTGGCTAGCTCACCCAAAGCAGCTTTCAGCAAGGAGAGGGGCCAGGTCTCCTGCTCTTGGGCTCTCAGATTTGGGTCACCTCGGCTCACACCACCAGACTCAGCTCTACTGTTTTTCCCAGGCAAGCTGCAGGGCCCTCCCTCCTGATTGCTGTAGGAGGCTTACAAGGCGGCAGGGGTTGGGAGTGGGTCAGCTCTTTTGCTATCACACCCTCAAGGCTGGCTCACCTGCACTCCCAACCACAGGGTCAGCTCTAGTGCTCTGTCCAGGTGGGGTACAGGGCCTGCTTTCCTGTTCTATAGCTGGTGAGAAGCAGGGCTAGTTCTCTCATTCTAGTGACCCCAGGACCAGCTCTTTTGTCTGCTGAAGGTAGCAAAGGGCGAGGCGGGAGGGCATCTTTCGTCACTCATGCCAGCACATGGCAGAGAAGGGGGAGGGTCAGCTCTGCTGCTCTCATGCCTTCAGGGCTGGCCCACCTGCATCCCAGATAACAGGGTCAGCTCTAGTGGACGATCCTGTGGTGAGGGGTGGGGTCATCTTTCCTGCATGTGGGGGCCAGCTCTCCCCCAATGGGCAGGATCACCTCTCCTGCTGCAGTTATCCAGCTAGGGGTAGGGCCAGCTATCTCAGGCACAGTGAAGGGCAAGGCTAGCCCAGCTCAGCCCTCAGATTTCCACAGGTATGAGTCCTATGACCCCATGTTAACACGGGCCAAGGACATCATCAAGGACCCCAGCTGCAGCAGGACCATGGACCCACCATGATCCTCAGTAGCAGCTTGGGCCCGACATCTGCATGACCCAGACATCTGCATGGGCCCGGGTAGCTACATAGGCTACCCAGATCAATATGGTCCCGGCAGCAGCATAGCCCTTGGACACTGAGATGGTCTCATATGGCTGACCAAACCCGGTCGTCTGCATGGCCCTTGGTGGTAACAGGAGCCATAAACATCAACTCAGACCCTGGCTGCGTTAGGGCCAGGGACCCAGACACAACCCCGGGAAGCAGCCCTGGCCCAGATTACACCATGGCCCTGGGTGAGAGCGCAGGCCACTCATATCTGCATGGCCCCTGTGGCAGTATGGCCCCTGCACACCATCATGGACCCAGGTGGCAGTACAGACCACAAGCCTCTGTGGCAATAGCCCAGGCCTGGACATCACCTTGGACTCAGATGCCAAGCAGGCCATTCATGTCTGCTTGTTCCTCACCGCTCTCACCTCTTCAGATCTGCCTCTCTTCCCAGCCCATGAACCATTCTGCCCCTTTCTCTCTTTCATTTCCCCACCCTGTACTTGCTTACCATAAGGGTTCCCTGACACCTGATGGGTTCCTGGTTGAGTCACAGGCGGCACTTGGTTGAGTCCTGCCTGCCCCAGCTGCAAGGCATGGCACTGATACATTGCTTTTTATCTCTTGTGTGCCCGGGCCTAGAAATCATGGACTTGTTTAGATAGTGACTGATGCCTGGCATAAAGGTGCCAGTCAGGCTCCTGCCATCTGTGCCCTCAGCCACTCAGACCTGGAAAGTGCTGAACAGCTTCTGGTCTGGGGGGTGGGAAGTGACCTGTGTCTTCTGCCGCTCAGGCCTGGAAAATCTAAATAAGTACTTTTTAAACAAAAATGAACCAAAACTTTAAAATAATTGGTTCAGTGTATGTATTCACATTGCAAAGAACAAGAAAGCATGTTCTGAAGAGAAGTTGAGAAGATTAGTATGGTTGGAACTGGAGATGACTCAGTGGTTAAGAGCTTGGGTATTGCTTTTGTGGGGTGGGGTTGGGTTCCTAACACCTACATTGGGCCATTCAAAGTTGCCTGTAACTCTTGCTCCAGGGAAGAGAATACCCTCATCTGAACTCAGTTGAGACCTTCACTCATGTGCACATACCCCCACCCCCCACAGTCATACACCACACACAGTATATATAATTTTAAAACAATAAAAAGAAATCTTTTAAAAAAATATTCCCATGGCAAGAGTCGAGGACCTAACACATTGTCTCAACGCAAGGCTACATAGATGAGACTACACTACCACTACCACCTGACACTATAGGAAACAGAAATTAGAATGGGTTGAGTTTTGCAAAATGTGCTATTTTTCAAGAAATGAGAAAGTGTATTAACGATAATCCCAAACCACTAGGATTCCTACTCCCATTACAGGCCCTAGGGACAGGGATAGTTCCTTCTCAGTTTAAAGATCTGACTTTGTGGTAGTTCAACACTAGGATGCCCCTACCCCATGCTTCCAGAGATGGGCCACTGCGGAAGGCATAGTGAGTCTCCTCTCCTCCTCCTCCTCCACAGGAAGTATCACAATGAACAGTGTTTGGGGCCAACCAGCCAAGATAACAGTAATATTTCCTTCTTCGGAGGTAGAAACCATGGCACTCAGCCAGAGA